GCAAATTAGCCACATCACCAGCATTCCAAATAAACAAGCTGTGGGTATGAAATACTTTAGATAAGCATTAGAAGATTATACATACTTCTGATGATATTATTATTTACAGAGGTGTCACTGCAACTTAAAACGCAGTCAAGAAAAGCCAATATCAGCCATATACATGGAACCAAACACCTTAACCGTGACTCTTGAAAAAGCAGATACTGCTTGAATGAAGCTAATGATTTGGTAGATGAGACAAGATAAACTTTCTATTGAAATTTCAATTTAGGAATTGATGGTTTGCCACATTGACAAACAGAAGATATTAAATATATGTTTATGCCATTGGATAACCATATTCTGGAAAAAGACAGCAGCAAGATTGGACCCAGACAACTAACAATTGGTGAAAAAAAGCTTCCGAACTAAAATACTCCAGAAAAAAAAGGGGGTTATTAAAGAAATAGAAACCCCCCAAACAAGAGTCACTTCTCTTACGTAACGAGCTATAACCAGTTTTTATGTATTATCTATAAACTCATGCAGGCATCTAATTAGCCATTAAGATGATGAATTATGTTCTATCATGCAATATAGAGGTGCTGTGTAATAGAGTAAGCACACTTTTTTAGAACTAGATCTCAAAGTTCATCTCCTGCCAAGACTGAACTCAGCTCAGACCAGCCACTTAGTCTCAAACAAGTCACTATTACAGCTCTATCAGATGATCTCATCTGAATCAGAAACACAGGAACAAGGAATCTGTATGATTACTACTTAACAATTTTCCTGTGACTTGTATGACTGCAACCTGACAAAATCCATCATTCCAACAAGGTATGTATGCTATATTGAATACCCATTGATCGCAGTACAGTGAACAAGTAAACGGGAAAGAAGTCAGTGTTACTGTCTCAGCTTTGTTACAAAAAAAATATTTTAGATCAGCGTCCTCCAAGCCATTGGGAAAAAGAAAAGCAAACAAACCCACAGTGGTGATTTCTGTAGACCTGCCAAAACAGTGTCACTATGCCAGTGTTAAAAAAAAAAAAAAGTAAAGAAAGCTAATTTTAATATTAAAAGCTATCCAGAAAAAGAAAAAGGTAAAAAATAAAATCACATTAATCCAAAACTTGAGTTCAGCTGTCGGTCTAGTCACAAGCTTCCCTTTTAAATCCTGGTAAAATAATCTATTTCACAAGGATTCTACTAGATCACAGCACTTTGTGTTGGTTGTCAGATACTGATACTATGACTCAATGTAGACACAGATATTCAACTAAAAAGGAAGACTTCTTGATGGCAGCAAAAGATACTCAGAAATGCCAGATGCAAATCTGTTTATCAGAAGTAATACAGGCAACTTAAATCCCAGTGGGGGTAAAAACACACAAACACAAGCAGGAATCAGACTGAAGTCTGCCAGACTGTTTAGCAATCCTACATAGCACAAGTTACTTTAAGAATTAAACTCTTCAGAGTTGAATAGTTGTCTTTATTTTCAACCTTCAGCCTGTTGTCTATGACCTTTACCTATGGTGCAGGGAAACCAGCCCTGCAGTGCAATACCTTGTCTTGTCTTTTCCTGGAGGTTTAGCGTTTTTCTTAACAAGTCCATTTTCTTGCTTTTTAGACACTCTCATACCTCCAGCTTTGACTGCAAGAAGAAAATACAGTTTATGTAAAAGTACAGACAGGATTGCATGCCAAACAAAAAGGAAAAATACCTGTACCCCAGATTAATTGTTAACACAAAATTATCTTTTGGTATTTAATTATATTTTTACTTCACTTGTATACATGCACATACACAGAATTAAACCAAAGAGTTCCAAGAAAGACTTGAATAGACTATGACATAGAAGTTTCAAGTCAACTTCCAAATACTGTAATCAAGAAGTCAATGGGTTTTCAGTCACTTGAACTTATATTAAATCTTAACACCTTAATATGTTGGTATGAATTCTTTCCCCCATAAATCTCAGATGTAATAAATCCCACTTTAAATATGACAAACAAACAAACAAACCCACCCACAACTCTGAACACTTAGTTTTCAAAAAGCATCACTAACAGCAATAAAGGTTTCATGATTTGTTCAAGGTATTCTAGGATAAAGCTAATAATGCAGATGCATATTTATCTTTCACTTGTGTTCTAACAAGCTTAATTATATTTTATTAAGATATCTGCCAATCACAAAACCAATTAGCACTAATTAAGCTACAGAAGACCTAACAATAACAATTTAAGTTCTGAGGCATGTCAGAAAATTCAATTCTGAACAAAGAACATGTGAAGTTATCTAAAACATCTTGTTGAAACAAGTACCTTCCCATTCACGAAGGTATTTTAAGTTTTAAAACTGCCAGCATAAGAAGGAACAAACTCAGTATGCATTCTGATTATTTTGAACAAGTTGCTTCCTCTTACAACAAGGTTCATGTTCTTCTTATTAATAATCAGGACCAGAGTCTTCAAACTTATATACTGGGGGTAGTGGTAGGGAGGGGCAGGGGATGACAGGGAATTGAGAAAAACTTCAAAAATTACTTGGCTAAATAGCATGAGAAAGAAGTTTTTTCTCCTTTCCCTCCCCCCCCAAACACATGCATTTGTCTGACAACTGTTTTCTATCAGATCTAGCTTATCTCCTTGTATTTTCTGCTTGCAGGTTTAGTTTTAGAATTAACAATTGTCCTTCAGTCATGTTTGAAGCAGTGTAGAGTTCTGCAGTATCTCAGCTTGTCTTTTCTTTTCAGCATTGCCTACATACAGTTAATTATGCTACTGTTTAAGCAGCAAATAGATCACCTAGCAATCTTACAGCTTCAAATACAGTAGAGACCTAGAATAAAACTCTGGTGGCAATCTAACTACAAAATGAGAAGTCTCTGAAATAAAAGTGTCAACCATTTCCAGTTGTCTTCTAGTAAAGAGCATCGGGATTCTAAATAGCCTGAAGCTCACAAGGTGTGAAATTTCTCTGGAAAGGGAGTTCACATAAGAGGCATATTTAAACAATACCAACAAATGATTAAAAAAAGAAAAAGCCAGGATATTTCAAGATCTTAGCTGGAGGTCTGCTCTTCCACAGCTTGTTAGGTATGCAGATGCATTCACTTTTTAGGAACGTGTCAAACCCCAAAAGGGAATCATTCATTTAATGGGACCTTCACTTAAGCACACGTTTGTAGGACTGGCAATTTGTAAATACAAGTGCTTTTGATGGTTTTAATTTAACAGAAGAGATCAGACACACATAGCCAAGGAAACACTTTTAACACTATAAAGCTTTACAAAAACCACAAGAGTGGGAGAAGAGGGAGATATCCAAAAATGGGAAAAATATTTAAACACGAAGTGACCAGTTGAAAGTCTTGCCTACTACAACAAGCCCACTGGGAAAAGAGTTGCTTATAATGACTGCAAATCACACGAGACTTATTTCAATCTTTTCACTAACTTGAAAATAGTTGCTACTAGCAGCTATTCTGTGGTTGTAGGAGAGTGTAAAATAGATGCTTCTATAATGCACCAGAAAGCTGGTTTGTTTTTGTTTTTTTTTTCAAAGCAATTAAGAGAGATGTCTCAAAGTTGTAATATGGAGCTCAATTTTCATATTTTAAGTACCCTGTAATCCATTTAACTTAAGTGCCAAAATCCTTACCAATTTCCATATTAAAACACACCACAGCTTTCAAAGAAGTAGGGTGGGAAAACAACAGCGACAAAAATGAATACAAAGCAAAGGCACAGCACCTTGGAGATCCCAAGGTTACTGTTGATGCTGTGGCCAGAATAAAGGGTGCCTTTACCCTCGTATTCACTTGCACTGCCTTCGCTCGCTAGGTGCTGAGCTGAAACAACTCGCTTCCTGCCATTCCTGTGCAAGAGTCACCGCACGGCAGCGCCCGCAGGTGAAGCCTCCTGAAAACGCTTCTCTGCAACTTCCGCAGCTTACTGTCACCTACAATAAGAAATACCAGGACAAGCACCAGGGCACCACCGCAGTGGTTTTGAGGCCATTTCAGGTGCAACGCAACCGCCGCTGTCACCGGAGGGAAAAAAATAATCATCCAGGAAAGGCCTAGCGAAGTCAGCTAGCGAGGCTGCAAAAGAAGTTACCTCACAAACACGTACAAGCATGCTTGAAGACTAAGCTCTTGAGAACGCAAAAGACATTTGAGGGGTAAAATGAGACAGATGGGCCACGCCCCGCACTCCTCGGGCACCGGCTGCTCCCGCGCGGCAGCGCTCCGAGGGGCAGCGCCCGGGGCTCACCGACACCAGGCAGCCAGGGCAGGGGCTGCCCGCTGAGGCACCGGCCCCGCACGGGCAGCACCCGGAGCTCGCACGGAGCGGGCCGCAGCCGAGCCGCAGGCGGAGGCCGCCCCGCAGCCCCCGGCCGCCCCCCGCCGGCCGGTGAGGAGGGCAGCAGCCCCGCCCGCCCGGCTCCGGCCGATTCGGAGCGAGTTCAGGGCCAACGGCACGGCGCAGGTAACCCGCGGCGCTGAGGCGTGGGGGCCGGCCCAAGCGGGGGAGGCGGGGGAAAACGGGCGAGTCCTGCCCCGCGGGAGCGGCCGGGACGGCAGGGAGGGGAGGGGAGGGGAGGGGAGGGCAGGGCAGGGCAGGGCGGGGCTGCCCCGGCCGCTGGGCACCCCCCGGCTCCGCGCTGCCGGTGCCGCCCCGCAGCCCCTCCGGCCCCGGGCGCCCCAGGGGGCGCAGACCACCGGTTGCGCCGGCGCCCGCGGCCGGACCGGCGGAGACCCCGCGGAGCCGCCGCCACAAGGCAGGCGCGGGGCGGGGGAGCGGCGGCGGCAGGGAGAGGGAGGGGAGGGGGAGCCCCGGCCCCTACCTGCAGGAGGCCGCCGGGCCGCCGTCGGGCAGGGCGCGAGGCGCCCCGTGCGCACCATCGCCGGGCGGGGAGCGGCGGCGGGGAGCGGCCTCGCGCGGGCCCGTGAGGCGGAGCGGGGCTGGGCCGGCCGGAGGCGGTGCCCATGAGGCGGCGGGGCGGGGCGGGGCGGGGCGCGGCGGGGCCCGCCCGGGTCTGTCAGCGTAACGGCCCGCAGCGGCGGGGCAAGGCGCGGGGAAAGAGGCGGTCGGAGCGCGAGGCTGCGGCCCGGGGACGTCCGGGGAGGGAGGCAGCGGCTACGGGAAGGACGTGAGGTACGGGAGGGGCAGCGGCAGGGGCAGGGCAGGCCGGTGTCCCGGCTGGTGTCCCGGCTCCCTGCGGCTGATCCTCCGCTCCGAATTTAGGCAGCGACGCCCGTCAACAGGTTTTCCAAATCCTTTGGGGAAAGAAGGTTGAAATTTGTCAGCTTAAACAAGACATCTGAAAGATTCAACGTATGAATTATAAAAGCAGGGCACCCAGTTAGCCTGGACAGAAGTTAACAGCAGAGCTGTCGTTCACTGCTCGTAGCTGGCAGCCACCTCCGAAGTGGGGTGCGCGGGGTGGGTGCCTTGGGGTGACTGAAGAAACATTCAGAGCGTCTTTACTTTTTATTTACGAAATAAGAAAAGAAGTTACTGGTATGGAAATTTGACATGCGGCTTGGCACTGGTGCTCTTCCTTGTTCCGTGTGTCAGAGGGTCCCGTGCCACACACGGCACCGAGGTGGCAAGTGCAAGAGAACAAGTGGCAAAGCTGACGCTTCCCCAACCTCTGTCACAGACTCTTCATCAAACACATTACGAGGGAAAGCAATGACAATCTAATGAGATCTGACAAAAAGTCAGCCAAAAAGAGCTGAAATTATCATTAAATGTGGATTTCCATCTGCTATCATTAACAATAAACCTCCCCCGAGGTTTATTGTTATCTCCTCCCTCTCTATTATGGCAGTGTATTGGGATTGGAAACACCAGGGAGAAGGGAAGTGTTGTTTCCAGCAGTTTGTAATGCAACGTGGAGCTGCTGAAGCTGGTGCGTACACAGAAACATCCAGCTTCATCCCCGTTGCTCTCTTCCACACTGGTGTGGGAGAACAGGGGCTGATTTTCTGGGGAGCTGTTTTTGGGGCCCTGCCTCGCTGTGTAGCACCTCTCTGGACAAGCATCTGGTCCACCAATAAGGTCAGAATCAGCCTATACAACTAAAAAAAAAATCTCAGTTCACTTTTGAAAGCCTAAATATGATTTTACTAAAAAGAGCTGTAGTGCTAAAGCAAATAAGATCACTTGCTTTAAGATCGTGATATGAAATCATATGAAATGAAGTCTTTGACCACAATTCCTTTGTCTTCAGCAGCACCATAATTTTGCCCTTAATTATCAGAGCCTCTTCATAAAATAACTGATTTTTGTGCTAATCGTGAACAAATGAATTTTCAAGGAGGAAACATGAGTGATAAAATATTATGCCACTGAAAACTACATCCCAACCTGCAGCTAATAAGAAACATCTGTTATTTTTCTTTATTGCCTAAGATATTAAATAGCCATCATTAGTCGTGGTAGGCTCTGGCTAAGAATTTTCCAGCACTGATGGCACAAGTATCAGTTTCATGCGTGACTTCAGATAATTTTCCATGTGTATTTTATTGTAATTTATTTTCCTTCTTAAATAATAATAATAATAACAACAATAATAATAAAACTTAGTTACAGTGTTAATGAATATGGTGTGTTCTGCTTAAATACTGTCATTGACAGTGAAGACATCCAAAAAGCTAGAGTGTTTCTTAAACCGTTTTTATTGCCTCAGACCAGTATCAAGGCAGTATGGTTACTGCAATTCTCTGTGAGAGTTGAAGAGAAGCACTTGCTCAAAACAGCAAAGGACCTGGTTCCAAAGGTAGCATTCATTAACGTTTTTTTCTTCTTCCATTTGATGTTGTTGGCATGATTAGTACTTAATTCTAAAATAACCGTACCATCAGTAAGATTTTCTGATTTTTTTTTCTGTGATTTTTATAATCCCAGAGTTATGGTAGTTAATCCTGTTTCATCCCATGTAGAAATAGCATTGTTCAAAAAGATATCTTCTGTAGTAATAACATCACCCAAGAAAAATGTCTAATTATAATAACCTTTCAATGAAATATAAGAGCTGGAAGTAGACATGTCCAAATCTGCAACTGTCTATATGGGATATATTTATTCATGGTTTCATTTTCAGTATTTAAAATTAAAAATTCCATTAAGGAATTATTTTCTAATGTTTACTATCTATGATGTAAACTGTGTTGTGGATGAAGACACCTTCATTGCGTTTCGTCATTGTCTTGACTCTGTCAGTGATGGTGATCTTTTGTATTAAGATAATGGGACCTTCAGGCCCTTGGGCATTAAACAAGGTGGTGGGCAGGTGGAGTAGAAGGTGAGTCCTACTCCACTCAGTGTGCCTCTGTGGGCTGGAGAAGGACGATATAAAACAATACTAGAGTACTACCACCCCTTGCTGTTTTATCATGCCGCAATATTCCATATAAGTATAAACCCTGCCTGAGTAAGAGCAAAATCTGCGTATCTTGTGATGAGACTGTGTTAATTTTATCTACATGCAGTTGCTGAAACCATAACACGTGATGCCAAAGATTTTTCTCATATGCTGTAAACATGTTCTGCTCTGCTGTGCCAAAACATTTTGTCACAAAAACTAGCTCTTTTAGAGATTCTAAAAACAAACAAGAAAAAAACTGTTCATTATGTGATTTATTGGGGATTGTCTTGTTCTTAGATTTTAAGAATTAAAAACAAGAGGAAGGTGAGAATGTAAAAAAAAAAAAGACATAAGTGGAATCATGAGGGAAAATTTAAGTAGAAAAGAAAGTAGAAGAGAACATGTAATAAGAAAACAGAATGGATTTATAGCTTGACAGCAACCCTGATGGATGACTACTGTTGTCTGGGATTCTTAGAGCTGAAAAAGTTAAAGGACATCCTGTCTAAAACAGATCTATTTGATATTTCAGTTCTGTACGTATTCGTTTCTGTATGAGGCAGGAAATAGCTTTGGTATGCAGCAATTTCCTCCCTAGAAAAGCATCTTACCTTGCAAATATTGAAGCCAATAGTACTGCATGTCTCTGCCAATAAATATTTAGCTTAAAATGGGTGATGACATTTTTGGTTGGAGAAATGACTTATTTCAGATGATCTGAAGGAGAAATAACAAAAGAAACTTTTCCAGAAGTATTTGTTCAGTAATTAAGGATTTTCATATTAATGTTACTCTGCCTCAGCAGAGCCATATTGATTTTTCAGTGTATTTGTATGAGCTTGGCTATGGTACCCTCCTTGTATCTGAGCTGAATCAGATGTTTTGGGAACAGATCCTTAAGATAATACAGCATTTTTTTTCTCTGCATTCTGCTAATAGCAATGACAAATGAAGCTAAGTCAGTAACTCTTTATGCTGGTTAAGTATCAGAAGTTTCTTTTTTCTATTTGCATGCTCATCACTATTAGATATTGTCAATAAGTTTCAGTCCCGGAAGCTGACACATGCAATAGCAAATGTAATAAATCCTTATGTCATTCCTTCTCCCAACAGCAGCGTAGTTCTCAGGCAGGCATTGTAAAAGAGCTGCGAACTTGTGTATTTCTCTCTTGGCATATTTTGGAAAGTTGTGTTAGTCATTCCTGTCCACGGTGCTTTCATTTCAAATTTAAGGTCTCATTAGAGCTTATCTACTCAGATCAGACATATCCCCCACTGGTGGGTACTTTTTGTAAATAGCAGTTGTTTTAATGTGCTGAGGCAGCCTACTTTTACTTTTGGAGGAGTGAACTCAGAATTCACATAGGAAAATGAATTTCTCCCAGGTGCTGCTGAATCTGCTAGCAAAATAAAGAAGAAAATCAACCATGCGAAAATTGAAATAAATAATGCAAGGAGAGCAGAAGAATCTGGAAAATCCATGTGCGCCTGCTTACCTTGCTGCAGCTTGCATGCAGGTCAGTGTCAAACTCTTTTCTCCATTATAGTGTTCCCTCAGTCCCCGCAATTCAGACTTGGATTTTGACAGTTGAATCATTTGGATTCTTTGGATACCATGACACCTAATAATGATATACACTGGCTTCATGCTTCTGCTTAAAATGATAGATAGCAGTGTTACTGAGGTAACCATCTCCATCCCTTGTCTATGAGCACAGTTCAATACAAAATACAAGTCCTTCACAGCTTGAGTTAAAGCCAAAACAGTATTTCCAATAAGGCATAAGAACCTTACAGTTCTCATCCATGCTTCCTGTGATATCTTCCTCAAACGCTATAAAACTGATTAAAAGAAGGCAATTCCAAACAGGTTTAGGTTTGGATCTGTTGGTTTGGATATTTAAACTTGGCTTTTCAGAGCGTTGTCTCATAGACAACCCCTTCATGCCCTTAACATCCAGACCGTGGGTCATCTGGCATGAGTCTATGCTTTTAGTGCTAAACCCACAGGGGCAAATTGAACCATTGACCCAGGCTGTATTAGTCACATAATGGGGAATCATGAGTCCAAAAATGAAAGCGATGTTGTACAACCTGCTAATGAGGGCTAATCAGAGGATATATCCAGCGTAAAAGAAAATGTTTTTTACCAGATAGTTTGGAGAGGAGCTGGTGCATAACTTATCAGATAAGGCAATCATGTAATATGGATTTGGTGTGTTGCCTAAAGCACTAATACTACAAAAGTTTAGCGCTATTGTACGTCATTCCAGATTTTTTATTTTTATTTTTTGGTGAAAATCTTTGGAACTTGGTTTAAACAAGAAATATAAGTTGATGTCATAGACTTCTTATGATACTAGGTATGATTCACCATTTTTTTTTCTGTTTTTCTTCCACTCACTTTCTTTTTATTTATTTCTGATGTTTACACTATCTCCATCTCTTGTTATATGTTTAAACCAGAAGCTGCTGTGAATGGGAATCGTACCTGCATAATGCTTGTCTGAAAACTTTGTTCTTGAAAAGTAACACTCAGCACTATTAAAATAACACAACATCAGCGTGGATATGTAAATTTGGTTTTATTTAACACTTTCCTTTATTTCCTTTTCATATTTTGTTGGAGATCATTATACTTTTTTTGTTGGAGATCATTATACTTTTTTGTCTATGTGGGAGGAATGAATGTGACCACAGGATAGTGCAGCTGAAATCTCTTCCTGCCATTCTCAGTCCTATCTCCACTGAAGTCCTGATCACAAAGATATGAGGCTTCAGAGATATTTAGCTGATACTGAGGATAGATTATTTTAGTGGTAGTAATTAGGAATGGAATTTATGTTGTAGTGGTTATACATATTTTTAGAAAGTTCTTGTTGTTTTGTTGGTGGTGTTATTTTGTGTGTGTGTGTGTGTTTGTTTTTTAATTTAGAATGGAGGCATGCCTGAGGGAAGACACAGAATTGAGATTGTGGTAAAGGGACAAGAGTTATAGGAATTGTCTTTGAGCAGTGCTTTCAGTGCTTTGGAGCTCTTTCATGTTTCGTGACAATTTCTCTTTCAGAACATGCACTCCACAAGCAAGTTACTACCTGATTGCTAAGTCTCACAAAATTACTTGGCAGAATCAGGAATCAACGTCTTTCCAAGCGGACAGTCTGATTACTTGATATAATCTAGCTAATAGATGCTAGCAAAATTATACACCAGGCATAGACCAGGTCTAAAACAGACACTTCAGCATATAGGCATATGGAATATCTTCTGATGTATCATGGGTTTTATTCATAACTCTTCTTCTCCTTTTTTTTTATTTGTTTTTTTTTTTTTTTTTTTTATTATTATTTCTGTTTTCTTAAGCTCAGTCACAGTCACAGATAGGTAGTACATTTTTCAATTGAGTCAGTGTAGCTATTTTAGATGCTAGAAGAACATGACAGAAACAAAAATGATTCTGCTGCAGGTGTGTGATACATTTTTTATTGCTTTAAATATATTTTTTTTCTCTGTCCTGTGTTTGTATTGTCTCTTTGTATTAGTTCGGAGTAAAGGTGAATAGTTTTGTAAAGACCATTATTGTTAAGTGTCTGAAGCATAGAAGAGACCAATTACTGAAGGCAGCCATATATTCAGTGATTTTTATATTGCTGTAATTGTTTACATGTGCGTATATTATGCCTTCTACAAAATCTGTGGGAAGTCTGGCTGCATGTCTGCACAGCTTACCCTGTTTCTTCCCAGTGGGTCTAGGAAATCTGAGAAGTTCAGGTCCTGATTTGTATGGGGATACCAAGATTTTCATAGACTACAGGGGAAAAAGTGTCCAGTCATTGAATAATAGTGCTGGACAGGGGAGGGTAATATCATTAAGGAGAAGGTATGTCTTTCTGGGTAGTTTTTGGTTATAAAATAACGTTGCTGGCAGAATGACTAGAAAGATTAAACTTTGTCATCATGTGATTTATCCACCTAAATATCCTTGTCTATACATACACACACATACATATATATATATATCATTGGGTGAAAGAAAAAGTGAATCAGTTCTAGTAATTCAATTGCAACACACTGAGCAGTATGAGATCCCTTGCAGACTTCACTATTTCTGACATATCATATTCGTAACTCTTCTTTCCTTAGATACAGGCATGGTTCTTAAAGGCCAAACATGAGAATTCCCTGTATTTTGTTGCCCTTGATCATGGCTTTGGGCCTTTGTCCTTGAAAACAGAGTTTAATGGTAAGTAATGAAAGCAAAGCAAAATATTTTTAATATCGTTATTGGTTTATGTGCCAAGTGACACTGAGCTCCTTGGAGCTAGGCAGCTGCAAATGACTTGTCTTCATACCTACTTTGAGTAAGTGCACAAAAACAACGCAAGTGTTAGAGGACAAGCCACTAGAGGGCACGTCATATTCGGCAATTGGATGGTAATCCTTTACCAGATGTGACTTCATACCCAACCCAGCCTCAACAACAAATGTACCTTTTTCATGGGGGGTAGAAACTGATTCAAATTCTCCAGGAATTGCTGCTGGAAGAGCAACTTTCTGAAACAGTAGTGATTATGTGATAATCCTTGGAAGGACATTAATAAGTTGGAAAATGGAGGGAGAGAATTGTGAATTGCCCCTGCTCAGGTTTGGATGGTTGTAGTTTATAGCAGGGGTAACATTGTAGTAGTATGGCATTGAAATGTGATTGCTGTACATACACAGAGGAATAAAAATAGAAGTTTAACAAAAAGAAAACGTTATGATTGATAGTCTTCACAGAATGTCATAAAAGTTATTCAACAGTGCTAAAGTTGAAGAATCAGAATTAGTTTCGGTATAACCATATGATTATTATGGGGACATTCACCTTGTGAGCTAGACTACAGTCTTGAGTCATTTGAGTGAATGGGTCAAGGCTGAGGACAAGTAAATTTCAAGTCTTTCTCTAGTTGCTACCCCATTAGCTTTTTCAAAGGCACTGTTGTACAGAGTGGCTTGTTGTGTATATCTGCTGAGGTGCCAGTCACTCGGAAGGCAAGGAGGAGGAAGCAGAGATGAAGGGACCCTTCTCTTTTCCCCATCAGACTGTCGAATTGGATCAGCATGTATGCAGCAGTAATGCATATAGGCCTAGTCATGTGGAATCTGTAAATAGGTTGGGTTGCAGGCTGTGGAAGTCTTGGGAAAGCACATCTTTCTTGTGATCTTGTTTACATGTTGCCTGGAAAGTGCAGGAAAGGATTTTTTTGTTCTATATTGGTGGGGAAAAAAAAGTGTATCACAAGCTCATAGATGTAACTATGTATAGACAAGCTACCGCTAGGTGGTGGTCAAGAAGTAGAGGATTTTAGCATTTGTAGGACCAAGAGAGCCGGCAAGCTGAAAAGAGCTTTCCCAGCTCTTCATACCTTGTAACAGAGAGGCTTTCCAAAGTACACAGCTTAGACCCCTGTGCATCACTAGGGAAGTTTCATGCTGCTTGCTTACAGAGAAATCTTCATCTTAATATGTTTGTCCCTATGGCTCTTTGCACAACAACTTCTGAAACATTGGTCCAAACAGCTTTTATGCTCATGATCATTAGCTGCCACTGTATTTTGCACATTATTTTAAAACCACTTAGATTAGGAAGGTAATCACTGATGCAAAGGAAAATGCATGGCAGCCTAGTCTGCAAAATAATACATGGAGACGGCATTTTCAGAGTGACGTACATTTTCAAGCAATTAGTTAAGTCAGTAGGCTCTGCTGAACTACCTTCTTAGGTTTAAGGTATGTTCTCAAATGTGTGTCATTTTCAATCTTGTTCAAGCAAATGGTCTCAGAAGTTTACTTGTTATGTGGGAAAAGTTTGAAAAAGAACATCTGAGAGTGGCTTTTCTTAGTCTTTTTTACAAGCTTCATTGTCAAACTTCATAACTGGTGAACAGGATGGATATTGCAGTTGGGTTATAAAGGAATTTCCTTTGTAGGCCTTCCTATGTCAGCCATGAGCAGAGGACTCTACAGGTTAGCATACCAATGAAATGCAAAAGATTTTCTTTCTTAGTTACCTTTGTCTGAATGTATAACAATGTCAGCAAGCTAGACAGGTTCAAAATAAATGCCTTTTCGACAGTCAGTGAATGGCCTTATCCCTGTTTCACTGTTTGGGATTATAATTGTGTACAATATTTGGAATTAGATAAATCTATTCCACAACATCTTAGTAACCTCTCTGAATGAGTAGCAGCTTTAAATAGGATCTGGATCAATAGCAGTGCTGGGGAATTTACAGCCAGGCTGGAGTAATATATATTTTGTTCCCATATTATGCACTCATATATTAGGACTGATTTTTTATGCAGAGGGAAAATTGTCAACAGTCAGCATTTCAGGTGATATGATCTCAGTTTCCTGTACCTCTCTGGTCAATCTGGGGAAGCACCAGCTGATTCTGGATTTACTTAACTATTTGAATAATTTTAGGACATAGTCAATGAACTGTGATTCAGTGCTGTGACTTGGTTATGAGTCTTTGTAATTAGCAGGAGGTCTTTTGCATTTAGTCCTAATGCAGATCAATGTCTTCTCATAATGTGTAATTGCTTTGTGCTGATGCACTTGGATATAATTCATTTCATACTCCTCCTAGTCAAGAAAAAAGAATCTACATATACCTTAAAGAACTAGCTAGAAATTATCTCACTAAGTATCCTGCTGCTTGAACTGTTCTTTTTCATGTAATTCATATAAAGTTGAACAGACCACAAGGAGACATTTAACATGAAATAGAAATGGTATGTTTAAAGATGTTTACCAGTATTTAGGGTGCCCTGAAGTAGTAAGGCTATGGAGTGCCTGCAATTATTGGTCTGCCCTTGGACTCTTTCATGGAGTGGTCACCTTCATGGCTAAGACCAGGGCACTGGCTGACTTTACACACTTGCCCTGCCTTTGGGATGTCTGTGGAAGCATTACTGCCCTACTCTCTCAAGGGCAGTGCCTGCTTTGCTTTTTACAGCACTGTTGATGTCTTCTGTCATGAGCGGTTAAACTTCATTTCTTCCTGTGGTGGGTAAGTGCTCCTTGTGCAAACTGCCTACAGGCATCTGTACCAGACAGCTTTGTGACCCGGCTTGTTATTAGCTACTGCCACACCCATTGCATTCTTTTATAACTACTTTTATTCCCTAGACTAACCACAGCAGCAAGAGCTTTCTTTCTATTTTTGTAATTTAGCAGCATACCTTCCCAGTAAACGCTGCCTTGGTGTGCGCTTTTCCTGGCCGCTGTTCAGAAGGGGAGTGAGTGATCAGCACCTGAAATTCCATCTGTCCATGTTAGCCTGCCTGCCCTGGCTCTGTGGCAGCACTCCCCGGATCTTCAAATAATGCATACGAGACAAGTTATCTCTTTATGCACTTTGAGCAAAAAGAAATGCTTTGAACTTATAAAGAGAACCAAAACCTTAGCATTGTGTATGAATGCCCATGTTCAGCAATGGAGTGGGCAGTTACACATGATGGTATCCTAAAGAAGCCATTGCATTCTCTTTATCAAACTCCACAAAGCATTCCTCTTCTGATACTTTTCCTTGTCCTCACAGCCCCTTCTAGAGCTTGCTTACAGATGTAACAAATTCTTCAACTTTCTCTTTCAACTTTGCTTTATTTATTTATTTATTTATTTATTTATTTATTTTTAAATGGAGAGGTTCCACAGACAAGGGAAACTGTTGTCTTAACTGTTAGGCTGCATGAGCCAGCATGTCACTTGAGATATACTGAACAGCTTCTTGCTATTCTTACTGGCATTGTATTTTAGAACAGCCTGCACTGAGTTCCATACTATAAAAGCTACGTATTTAACAAGAATCCAAGTGGGTTAAAGGTATAGCTCCCAAACTGGTGTCCCTGAGTTCATAATTGGTGTTTTATAAAAGCATTTTGTCATTACAGCGTTTCCAGTTGCACATATGAGGAGACAGATTGATGTGCAATACAAATTACCTACACAACTGTAACCTGTTTTGCTGCTCCTTCCTTTAGTGTAAGACACATACCACAGTCCAACGTAAGTGTGTTAGTCTGCGTATTCTGTATTCTGTAATCTCCTCCAGCCAGATAATTACTTTCCTGAGCGAAAGTCGCAACATACTAATATCATGAGATAAGTGAAATCAATGTAAGTTAAGGACTAGTCTGAACTGAATGCAGTTGTCCAAAATGCTTTTTCCTTCTCTCATGAACTGTAATTATTCTAGCATGATGGTGCTGATCTGATCTGAAATTCCACATTTTGCAGCTCTCCACTGACCTTTGTGACCCTATTTTGTCCAAGAAACAAGGCAACTTTTCCACACACACCTACCACTGTGGGGGGTGTTTTTGTACAGGTAGATGACAAGGTAAGATGACAAGGGCCTGAAGGATGCATCTAAGTAACAGTCTTGTGACTTGCTCACATTAGAAGAGTTTTTTATTTCAGTCTGAGATCCTCAATCTTGCATGTTACCTTTCTGACTCTTGCTTACTTTTCGGTGCTTATGCTTTGGCTATTTTCATTTTGAAAATGAATATCCTAATAATAGGACAAGGGGAACAGTTTTAAACTAAAAGAGGTGAAATTTAGATTAAATGTTAGGAAGAAATTCTTCACTCAGAGGGTGGTGAGGCACTGGCCCAGGCTGCCCAGAGAAGTTGAGGCTGCCCCATCCCTGGCAGTGCCCAAGGCCAGGCTGGGTGGTGCTTTGGGCTGTGTGGGCTGGTGGGAGGGATCCCTGCCCATGGCAGCGGTGGGCTGGGTGGGTTTGAGGTCCCTTCTGACCCCAACTGCTCTGTGATTCTACGATTTTACCTTTCTGCCCTTGAAAGATTATTATGACTAGTACAAATGAGACCCAGGTTTGACCAACATAGTAATAGGAAGACAAATTCTGAAAGGTTGTGTTAGGTTGGATTATGTAACACATAATGCTTTTCTATAGGTTTTATTTTATGGCTTCCTTCATTTGAATTTAGTTTTATATAAATTTGATTCAGCAGAGCCTGCTGTTCTCTGATCTAGAGGGATACCTGACATACATTTGTGTACAGAGGAGTGATAGTATATTATAATGAATAGGCCTTTCCTAATTTTCATTTTAATATCAAAACAATTAATATTAAAACTTGATTTAAGCAGCAGATGAAGCTTATTTACTGCAATAGGCTCTATTGTAGAATTCGCATTTAAGTGGAGGGCGTGGTACAGAAATAACATGTCAAACACCACACTTACTTACATATGAGACTGACTGATATCACTCGCTGCATTTTATTAAGTAATGCATTCTAGTTGAGTTTGCTGGTATAGGAGGGTTTTCTGATTTCATATGCCCAGTATCTTTTTAGAAAGTGCTATATCCATACTGAGACTGAATTTGGTCTCAGCCCAGATGTAAGTCATTGCGTGGGATGCTTTTTTTTTCATCATCAGCTTTTTTTTTTTTTTTTTTTAATTCTTACCAGAAAGCTATACAAAGCATGTAACTGTTCAGTAAGAGGGGGTAAAATAATCATATTGAATTATGCTAAAACCTCACAAAGCATTGAGTTACTTTTTGAGTAAACTTACTAAACATATGCAGAAGTTAGAAAGATTGAATTAATTATTTTCCTTCAAGCACCTTCCTCGGTAACATACAAAGTTAAGGGAAAAATAAAGTATGACTGTGTTTCAGTTTCTTGTGTTTCAGCACTTAATCTATAGGTGGTTTACAGGTTTTATAAAGACTCTAGCTGCTGAAATATCTGATAGAAAGTCTTAGAGCTGCAACACTGCGAGTGCTTTGTTTAGGCACTGACTATTTTAAAATGCTTAAATAAATGAAATCATGCTTACGGCAGATTGAAATTAAAGTAGACAAGTCTCGGAGGTCTCCCTGTTTTATTCACAAAATTGAGGAGACAGGCTTTTGAAAGTCACATTTACCCTAAGCAATAATCTATTCCGGATATTTTACTGAAACTTGTACCAGGTTTGTGCAGACACAGTCCCACACAGACTTGAGGAGGGGCTTAATGGATCAAGCTGTTTGTACAGTACCTGATCTATGTCTGTGTATCACTGTATTACGTCTGTCAGTTTTGCTAATTATTTTGCAAGTCTTTTTTTTTTTTTTTTTTTCCCCAGTATGTTTTCAGATTAGATGTTTGGTGTGGGAAGCTATATAATTGATGATAGATTTGATTGTCCGACATCATATTCACAAAAGCTTATCAGAATTGTTTTTCTGGGTTAATCTGAACGTCCTCTAGAATGTTCCAGTTTTAAACACATCTGATTAGGTTTTATGAAAATAGCATAGCTAGGATGATTGCATGAGCAAGTCTAATTATGGTATAATTATCAATCCTCCTGTTAATTAAAATGCCATAAAGAAAGCTAAGTACACATATTTATTTATTTATTTATTTTGATACCCTGGAACACCTAATAAGAGCAAAAAGTAAACTTAATATTTTTGAAACTGTGTACATTTAAAATTGATGAATGCTCTGTAGGTTGTATTCATCTAAATATAAGGTATTTCAAATCTCTAATAACATAATGGCATCCTTGGATGAAGAAACAAATTGTAAAACATACCTCTGTGATGGTAATTGTAAGCAAATGAAGGATCTTGCTGCTGATTTCCATTTTTCTTTGCAGACTATGACTCCTCCCACCTCCGCGATGTGTGTGAAGAGATGTTTCTCCATATCCCCTGCAGGAATGCTCTGAACATTGCCTTACTCCTGATCTAGTCTTGCCTGAGGTAAAAGCTCAAGGTCTTCTCCTTAACAAGAAGCAGTATCACACTGCAAACAGTGTTTTATATACTCCAGCCTTATACTACACTTTCATATTTTAGGGGCTTGGCTGGGAAAGAAATTGAACCTTTGGACGTTTTTCTGTCTTGCATTTCCTAGATTCAGTGACTGACAAATCAATTTCAAATCTGCCTCGATGATCAGAAGTGCAAATCTTATAAAACCTCGAGTTTTGGATCCAGACTCTGACACTATTCAAATCCTCAGCTAACAGCAGGGTGCTCAGAGAATTCAGCCAGCAGCATGCTCCAGTTTAGAATTTCCTGCAAGTTCATGGCTGAGTTTCGTGAAGACCGCTCTGCCACTGACATCTTCTCCTGGCAATGTGACAGAAAATAAATTGAATAATATTATGGTCAGGTGTTACAGGCTCCATAATGCCATACATATTGTAGGCACATTGTGTTCTAGCTTTGGAAAATGCTTCACAGAAAATGGTTGTAATAGGTGGTTAACATCGCTCAGTACTCAGAGCAGGGCCTGAGGCCTCTGCAACTGATTCCTTTGAAAAAGTTGGCCTACAAGGCATCAGACCTCTTGCTGTAGGTCTAGGCTCACAACACCCAGCCATTTCAAGTTTCCCTTTCTGCAGTCTGCTTGGCAAAATGGGAGGAGTTTATCCCATGTGAACTGAAGGAATTTTGGCAGTCTCATCTTCTGGCGACTGGTATGGCTATGAGGGCTGCCCCAGCAGTTCCTGTCAAGCTGCCCTGGCTCAGTGGAGGTGCATGAGGGTACGCAGCATCAGCAGCTGTGACATGGCTCTGGTTATGCTCGCTGGGTACTGGGAACTACTGCCACGAGAGCAACAAGTTCAGCTGAACAAACTTTGCGTTGGTGAGTGGGCTTGGCCAGCCAGCACCTGGGGGTGTGGTGCTGTGACTATCTCATCTGGCTTAGTTTGTTAGAGAAAATACAGCACAGTGACTTTGCTTGTAAGTCACTTTGAAGACATTCTTTCCTGAAGCAGCATGTCATTGGTTTTGAGCTCACTGAAGCCCTTTCTTCTTAGACAACACCATGGATGTCTGTAAAGAATTGCATAGGGACAAGAGCAAGCATTCATACGAGTCTTGCTAATTGAGTTGTTCGAGATGCTGCTGGTTATACAAAGACATGCAAACATCAACTTTACAAAACTCATCATAACTTGCCTGCCAGTTGTAGGGCATGCAAGAGTGTTGGAATCCTGCTGAGCATGGTCACTTTTCTTTAGAGTGGTTGTGCTTTAGAGTGGATAGTTTGTCTTTTTTCAACAGGAGACCAGAAGTCTACTGATGCACTGTTCCTTTTAGCCAGAGGAAAAGGATGCTGCCCAAGAAGAGCTGGAAAGAATGTAAGTTAATCATAAAAAGCATTTGCACTTTAAAAATAAGAAAGCAGGTATCTCAGCTTTAGTGAAAAAGAAAGCCAGTGTGGTTTATCATTTACAAGCTCAGGTATGAATCAGTATGGAGAACCCATTGGCTGTAAATCATATTTAATTATCTGATTACTGTTTTGGGGTGTAAATACAAGACAGTTGATGGATCGAGAAGAAATTTCAGACCAGACAAGTCCTTTCATTAACCTGGAATGTGGACATTTTTAAAGTGGGAAAATCATAGTTATCCTGAAATTAAATTATGCTGTGGCCTTGCTTCTTTTTTTTTTTTTTGCTAAATTGGGCAATGGAAAGAGCATACATTTTCTGATATTCTGAGTGTAGAAAAAGGGGCATACATTGAAAGGTTTAGTCTCCAAGTGCTTTGGTTAACAATGAGTTCTCTTTAAGAGGTCACTTACTGCATGAGGAAAATAGTAGTTTGTGTTGTTTCTCAACAGTTCTTCAATCCTGCATGTAAAATCGTAATCATAGCTCTGTGGGTGGAGTGGAGCACACAGAAGCTGGCTGTGCTTAGTATTTTATGCGCTATTTATTTGTCAAGATACAATTTGTTTTCTTTTGGTTTTAAGTGTGATATATTAGGAACGTATAAGCACAATGGTAGGGAAAATTTGGGGTAGGAAGACAGTCAAAAAATAGGAAATGAAGAACATATGGCTTTGATGAGAGAATTCCTGGCTTCAAGGACTGATATGTGGATGCTAGAAAGCCATGACATCTGCCTGGTGAGAGCTGATTCTGTCTCTACGAGAAAACAGAAATGGGAAAAGCAGTGAGCCGTCTGTGTTTGTATATTCTTTGTTTGCTGCCTGTGTTTAGAAAGGTTCTTTATAAATGAAAATTGGCAGTTTGAATGAATCAGCCTTGGTTTGAAGCCTGCAGTTGTTGCTCAAAACTGACACAACTAGGCTGGTTCCAATGGAAGGAGAGTTTTCTAGAAGTATGTGAATGCTATCTGTATGCAGTAGTCCCTGAACGCTAGCCTCGGTGTTATACTGGAACAAATAGTACTTTAAGGCTTATGCACAATCCCTCTTCCTCTTTTTATCTGCTTGAAAATGAGGTATTTGCTGGTCCTTATGCAGAAACAGGAAGCTGTATTCCAATGCTCTTTACAGCTGCTGTGGAGATAAGCTTTTTCTGTCTGAAAAGATGAAGAATGGGTATGTTTTCCATGCAGTTCAAAAGAACCCACATTTTGTTTTGCCATGTACTCCTCAAACTGCATGTCCCTTTCCTCCTCCTTAGATTGTAACTGGCACATTGAATTAGTGAAGATGTATGTTTATTGATCATGCTGTGCTAACCGTATCCTTTTCTATAATATTTCAGCTCCTATGGGGAAAGGCATGGCCAAATTTTAATTTAGTTTAAAACAAATAATCACTGCTGCATATTTTTGTCATATTAAAAACAGGTTATTAATTGTACCTGTAAAAATATTCAGAACACACTGACTACTTTGCTTTAAAAACAAAACAAATAAACAAAACAACAACAACAACAAAAAACAACAAAGACAAAATAATTTTTTGACAGTCTTTTGACCAGTACAGAAACAGTAGATTTAGTTTGGTTTCTTCCCTTAATTTGACTTTGTCCCACAGGAGATAATTTTATGTAACCAAGTCCAGAAGTTCACAGCCTATTTGACACAACCCTTTATTTTCAATCCCTGTGCTATTTATTAATCAGAGGAAAAACACTTGAAAATGTAGTCTGATGATCAAACTAAAATAAGAAGAGGAGAAAAATGCATTGATAAAATAAATATCCCAACATAAAATTTGTAAAACACATATGCCTTAGGAGCTAGACAGATCTCCTTCCATGGAGGTATTTGGGTTGTGTTTATATTACATTTTTTCATAAAGGCGATAAATATGATTGCTGCTCTGATATTTTCTTAAAATACAAACAAACAAAAAAAAACAACAACAAAAAGCTTTGTGAATGGTAACGATGAAAATAAAGCAAGCAAATGAGAAAGTGATTTATATCAAACTTAAAGATACTTATCATAATGACCACTACATACTGGGAATTTCAATAATTATTCTTAATCTGCTTAATGACTAAATTTAATGTGTCCTACATAAAAAGATAAATCTCAGTAAGAATCTCAGAAGATTTGTTTTCATTCTCTTGATGTTTTTAAGCTTTCATGATCTCTAGTAACTCTGTATTTCACGTTAGGTCATTAACCTAAGCTCTAGCAAACTCATTTTCTTTATCATCTTCCCTCCTGAAGGTTAATGACAGAATGCACAAAGGTGTTGATGAGACATACAGACTTAACTGCATAGTCTTCAGACAAAAGAGGCCTATTTTAATGGATTTTCTTAATGTAATGTAGTAGCACATGATAAAAACAGATGTAAAAATGTTTAATCCATATGATTAAAGCAGAACACCTCAGGACCTAGAGTAACAATCTAGGAAAAGAATATATATAAGAGGAGCTAATGTTAATTTGCACTAAGCTGCTTTGGATGACCACAAATCAAAGCTCTGCTGTGAGCTTTTTTATTTTTTTTAAACTGTCCATGTAAAACATGAATGGCTGTCACATTACAGTAACAACCTGGGAACATCACTAATAAGCTTGCTAAAAGTCATAATCAATAAAGGCTAACTATGATCATGCTCACCATACAAGCATGCGATGTAATTTTGACCATGCTGGCAACAGTCCCATCTGCAGACAAATGCTTTAAGATGTTATGGATCCCTGGTGCTGTTTTTAGAACTCTGCTAAATTGCTGTGTGTTTTGTTGTTTAGTGGCTGAAGGGATCAGTTGCATGGCTCTCTTCTACATTCCCTTAGCGTGGCAGTAAATAATTACCCAAGCAGAGATGAAGAGAGGTTGTCCTGTGGACCAGTCTGAGGAGTATGTCAAATATGCTCAGGCCCTGCTTGCTGCTGTCTTTTTGGCAGCAGCTGGAAGGAGCCTGGGGAAGGAATGTGCCTTTTGTCTGGAGCAAGGCACTGGGCTTTAGTAGTAGCAGTGATGCCTGCAGAAGGGGTGCTCAGCTTCACTTGGTCTCCGTTTAAAAGTGTGAGTTGAAGAAATATTAGAAATATTAGGTCTAGGGAGTCTAAATTCTTTGGTGGGGAAATACCTATGTCTATATTACCTTTGAGTTGTTCACGAGCTTGAGGAATGGAAAGCTCATGGTTGATATTAAACTTGTGCACCTTATGTGGTAGTTCAACACAGCTGTACTCATGTTCATACTTCCTATAATTCCAGTTTTCCTGAAGCATAAATGATTAGGTGCTGCTGATTTAAACCTATAAATGTCTAAAGCAAAAAATGAGATTACCAGGGACTGAACTCAGAACCAATGATTTAATTTGTAACAAACGACAAGCTTTTGTTTTTTTTTTTTAAGATTTGGAAAAATTTATTTAAAAAATCAGATCACTTCAGGGATGAAAGGGAGATGGATTTAGTTTAGAAAAAAATATTTCCATGGTCATCAGCTGAAATTGGCAAGTTTCAAATTACTAACAGAATCACACAGGAATATAACTTTTTACTTGAACTCTCTAATCTCCAAATTATTAATAATAATATAACCTGGTTTGACTCAGTGAAACATCAAATTCTTTTAAATGCAGATTGGGCAGTCTAATGTAGAAATATGGTTGACTCTGGATGACTTGTTAAATTCACCCAGCCATCATCAACTTTTTCACAAGGTTATGAACATTTAATCAGGAAGTACACTGAATAAACAGACAAGAAGACTGCTTCTGTAGAATGTAGAATGAGCTAGGAAATGTAGAATGAACTATCCAAACAGCAGAAGACTGAATAAATGAGTCATTGTACACATTAAAAAAAAAAAAAAAACTTAAAACTTTTTAGAAATTAGCTTATGTAGCTAACATATTTTTCAAGACATCATGATTGCTACCCATGAATGCCACACTCGCCAAAAAAAAACAAAGAAAAAAGAAAAAAAAAGTTTTATTCTACACATAAATGGCAGTCAGTTTTTCCATTCTCAAATCCCAGCAACCTGAAGCTACTTGTGTCTGAAAAAAAGGCACAGGAAAAAAATATTGCTATTCCTGTCAGCAATCTCCATGAACCTCAAAAGGTGTCATACGTTCTCCTAGTTACCTCAGATCATCTTTAAAATTCCTGCTTTTCCTTTTTTCCCCCATGATCTCTGTAATAGAGACCACATTACAATGTAAAAGTTTAAGTACCTAATTTTAGTACAGTTGGCCTAACCAAGTTCTAATTCTTAATTTGTTGAATTAGTGCTACAGGGTATAACACAGCACAACTGCTGCACAACTGCAACATAACAGTTTCTCCTCTTAGCCTGTTTATAGTCCTGTAGATCTTAGACTTCTGGAAGTCTGCCCATGCCTAGTGCCACCGTCTTTGTGCTGGCATTCAGCTTGATCACAGCCTGCAGAGGACAAGGTTTGCTCGGAAGGCAGTCAGGCACAGCATTGGCTCAATGCTAGTTATTTTCAAGCTCTGCTTTGCCAAAAAGGGCCATTTACTTGTTGATGAAGACTAGTGTCTTTTTAAATCTGAATGGTGGAAAGGCTCCTCCCCAGGTGCTGATCAGTTCTAAGTAACATAGCTCAAAGCAGCAGTGCAGCCGCGCTTCAATAATCATCCAGTTCCAAGGACTGATGGAGTAAAAGAAGTGGTGAAGCCAGAAATGAAGCCTTTCCTCACAGAAGATACAAATTAACAGCTATGAGGTATCTATATATAAATGATTTTGTGGCAAACCTTTATAAGGGTTACATGTTTCTTGTCGTGGTCTCTGTGTGCCTCTCCCAGGCATCATGGGCTGGGTGTTGGTAAAGAGCATTTCCCCTGGCCCTGGCCAGCCCCTCCTAGCACCAGCCTCGTGTCGCTTTGTGCAGCCGTGGAAAGCTTCCTCGAGGTTCTCTGCCCAGTGCTACCTATGAGAGATGTCGGGTCTCCAGTGTTCTCAGGATGACAGCTTTCTTTCTCATCCCTTTATTTATTATTGTTCACAGCTGCCCTAATTTACCCATGGCCACAAACCCAGGTTTTTGCTTTTTTTTTAATTAAATTGATGTTCACATTGTCACCTTTTATTAGTCTTACGAAAACTCAAACACAAAATGTACAAATGAGTACTATCATTGGATGTCTTCTCTTCAACTAAACAAGTGTCTGTCAGCACTGATAGTCTGAAGACCCTTTTTTTTTTTCTTTTTTTCTTTTTCTAGAATGTTTATGGTCTTCCCTTCAGGCAAACATTTTTTTTTGCCTAGCTCATCTCTGCTCCTTTCAGGCTCATCCATGTCTCTCTTCTTTGGCTACCCCGTAAAGTAATGTGGGTATGGCAAATAAATGTTTCATTTCACTTGGCAGTTCACATGTACTCATTAGGTTGTTCTGATGTTGTCAGGCCACAGCCAGGTGTTCTTGCAATAGCTGTACGCATGTTTCTTGAATTAATGTTTTAGGAGCTATCCTAAATCTGTGTGCTATGGTAAGTGGAGTTGCTCTGTTTTTCTCTTAGGATGTTGCCAAAACATGCATCTGTCTGAGCATGTAGGAGAAATTTTAGAAGGCACTGCAAGACTGCAGCACTTACATGCAAGCTGAGCTGCAGGGGACTCTGTGCAGCAGTGACACCCCGGTCAGGCAGAAGTGGCTCACAGCCAAGATCCCCAGCTGACCAGAGCGAATGCCTGCGGTCAAAAGGTCAGATGCAGCCTCTGAGGAAAGGGGATCGTATTGATTCACTAAAACTCCAGGTACGGTAGCTGAGCATTCTGAACTCACGTATAACTTACATTTCCTATGTTGTTCACAGAGGACACTTCTTAGGCAGGCAGGAGTAAAGATCAGGGTCTGGATTTTTATTTTTATGTTTTGAGGCCACTTAAACAATAATCCTAACTCTGTTATGCATTAAAAGGAAATTAATCCTATTTTGTGACACTTCTCCCCTCCTCCCCCATCCAAGATAGGGAATTACAGAGATGTTAATTTAAGCCTTTGTTTCCTATTTTTCTCCAGCATTCAGTGAGTATAACGGCCTCCCTGAGGTCAGTGCTGCTTTTCATTGCCCTCCGTGGGAGCTATTTACCTAAGAGAAAAAGCATAAGGCTGCTGTTGAGTCTCACTGTACATCTTCTCAATCTGTTCTAATATTAAACTATTTAACTCCCTGCTTCTGATACAGTTCAGTTCTTGTTCTTTCAGTCCATTTGCAGATTAATTATGGAAATAGAGAAGTACATTTTCCAGGGTGCTATTACTATTTAACTTCCAAATCAGCATTACCCTGTCTTAAGACATGGACTTTTTGAAAGTTAAACAATCTTTTATCTTCCTCACTGGCTTATCAATCTGAATGCAAAATTGTGAATACAGTGGATTTAAAAAAAATTGCCTTATATTTATGCTCCTGACATTTTGCAACAGACCACTCCACTGTGAAAATGAACAATGAAATTAAACTGTGCCCCGTTTTTCTCCACTTTTGCACATTGTCTGAAACTGCATGTAAAGAGAAATTAACCAACCTAATAATTTTAATGAGTATAGCACCAAGATGTAATGCGTAAAAATATATAAACAAGTAAGACTAGTAAAAACAAAAGAAAATGAATGTGATGAAACAGATGTCCCAAGTCTTGTTGCTTTTGATCTTGATTGAACAACCTCAAAAATCATTCCTTCATAGAGCTATTTGCTATATTGCATTGATTATCTGTTTTTTTTTGAGAGGTATTAGCGGATTCAAAGAAAATACAGGCTATGTATTTTCTATATATACAACAGACTATGATCCTGTCAGTCTCTACTGTATCGTCTACAGCTAATTTAAATTTTCCTGGGACAAGGAAATACCAACCAAGTATACTTGGCTCACCTTTAGTAGGTAATAGGCATACCAGGTAATCAACGCTGATCTGCATTAATCTGTGTAGCAAAGCTTGTACATGACTCTGAAGGTAGTTAAAACCTGATGTGAGATCAGTGCTTCTTGTAAGAACAATTTGGCCAATCTCAAGCTGAAGTAAATAGAAACTATTTTCTACCTTAACAGGAAAAAAAAAATGAGTCTACTAGGAAAGAATGGGCACAATCTGCACAGCACCAACCCTCAACAACACATCGCACTGCAATCATTGGGGAATGTCATAGCTGTGTACAAAGTTAAGATATAACTTGTTGCTTTCACTGGGCTGTTTACCCCTTAAGTTCTTACCCATTGTACAATCAGGAGGCAGAGGTAGCCCAACCAAGTATGGAAAAATTGCCTCGTTATCTAAACTTGGAGCAGTTCTGCTTACCTTTTATCATTTCATTGATGCAATCAGGATATTTGCAAATATTAGAAAGTGAAGAAAATTGCAATGATGGGGAACAATAATTATGAACACTATGAAGTTAAGAGATTCTGCAGCATGAGGAAAGTACATGATGTAGTTACTTAAAATAATCAATTATTTGAATTATAAATAAATCCAAGGAGAATTTAGCCTTCGTGGAGACTACACGTTCTCTGAAAGCAAGAAGATATTTTTTTGAGGGGAAGGAAGGGGAGGAATAGAGAAGTGGTGGGAAGAAAACATGATAAAGTTCTGAAATATCTTGATTACCTGCATCTAAAGTAAAAAAAAAAAAATCCTAGTCTAGGGAATAAAGGGTAGTACATAGTTTCACACCTTGGTATGCCAGACTGACAAGTTTGTAATATATGCACTGTTGAATGGCCAAAGTGGTTTTGATATGTTTAACCTGCTTAAAACATATGATCAGACTTCACATTCATGGTATTTGTTTTTGAATACCACACAGAGAAAATAATAATAAAAAGAACAGGGAACAACTTTCCATGGATGAGACTTCCATATTTATTGTTCTTCCATGTGCATAGAAAATGGCAGTGAAGTTTTTTATGAAATAGGCAAGGAATGGGAGAGGTGTAGATATACTGAACTAGACTTTGTGCTTCAAAATTACACTATTAATTTTAAAAAGTTTTTTTTTTTTTTAATTTATAACATTTTCTTGGATTTTCTTTTTGTGCATGATGTTTCAAATTCCTTTTAAAATGACACACTGCATTACAAATGGATGGCACTTTAAACCAACATGGCATTTTCATATTTACACCAATGAAAGAAATTTACACAACGTAATAGCGTACAATCTTGACATTTAGTAATAGCAATAAAACAAGGGCATCCGTTTTATTTTTTCTGTACAAACTATCAGAACAAGACTTTTATTCACATAAAAAAAAATCAGCTTTAATTTGCTCTGACCTACGCACTTTCCAAATTCATTTTACTCAATTCTCAAACCTTTCATCACTTCGCCCACACCCTCACCAGACTACAGGAACTACAAGTAATTATACCTAACATCTAAACAGAGCAAAAAAATCCATCCCTTCCAGTTTTTCTTCCTGACAATTCATCACTCAAAAAACCAAAACAAAAAACAAAACAAAACAAAAAATCTCCAAAACCAAAACACTTCCTTGTTCCTTCTTTTATTTCACTTTCACATTTCATTACCAAAGCAACAAATGAGGCAATTCCATTTCTTCTCAAGCAAGATGAGAAATACACTGTTTTCTTCCTTTGATGCTACACCCAGGAATCAGGTGAACCTGGGTACTGTTCTGCTCTATAAGAAGATCGTCTGGTGGAATAAAAGTCTACATAATTTGTGGTTGATTTCAGTCCATATTGTGTTGTATAATCTGAAGCAGCAGGAAAGTGAACTCGATCATCAAAGTATGGGTCTTCATAGCTATGTGGGGACTGCAAATATAACCTGTATGCATCATAGTTTTTTCTGTTGGTATCTTCTTGACTGTAATACAACTGCTGATGCTGTTGACAAAGTGGAAGAAAGATATTTTTTCAAAATTTAATTAACAGAGAAAATATTTGTTTTCAAACATTTCATGCATTATACACAACCTTTCCCTAAAAAGTTTAGTGTAGCTCTACCAATGATGACAATAACAAAGGTTTCAAGCCTCCGTGAAATGTAGCTAAGGTTTAAATGAATCTAATGCAGGAAAAACTTCTAAGTCCTCTTGCACTCACTAGGAATCTAGTAGCTCTCCAAAAGTAGTATTTTTAGAACATCCATAAAAAATACAGAACCTGACCATAGCTACCAAAAACACCTGTCAGAAAACTGGTCTCAGATCCAACCATAACAAAATATGGTTAGTCACTAAAATACGTGACTATAAAAAGAAAACAAAATAATAAACTGGCAATAACTTATGTACTTTTAAGTATGGTAATGCCAAATAACAAATTTAAAATGGTGTAGATACACTCTGATAATACGAAATAAACTCTTTTAAGTTCCATTAAAACACCATAGTCTGAGTCTTTTTATCAGTATCATTTCAAAATAAAATTTCAGTTACCTGTAGCCGTCTATTTTGTTCTCTTGCTGGTGAGGAGTAGGAACTGATGTAAATTGGTGAAGGTTTGCTGGAACCTGTGAGAAAATAGTTTAATGGCATCAACTTCAACCTTTATTCTTTTGTCTATTTACTCTTATATTACCTAGAAAAAAAATATATAGCACCCAAACAATCAAGTCTTCAGATTTTAGAGTCTACTAATAAAATAACAATAAAATACAAATGAATTTTATTTCTCAGCAGTAGCTAAATTAAAACTGAGGAATTTTTTGTGCTGCTGTTTTTATTTACCAGACTAATTTTAATACAAAAAATTTCTTTCTCCCTATTTACTGTCATCTCTTATTTTGTGACTTGTATCAAATAGTAAGAAGAGAAAAGTAAAATCAGGGAAAATATGAACTCTTGGTATAGTTTTATAATACAATAACATTACACACACACACATATATAATGTATGGTTATAATAATTATAATGTGCATAATAAAACAATTTTCTGTAATAGATTTTTAAACTAAAATGAGATTTCCAAACACCTCATCTCCCAGTGTATAAACTGGATCTCCTCTTATTCTGGTAATGTGTACAATTTTAAAGAAAATAGCAGAGAGATGAAAAACCTCTTCTGTTCTTCCTGCAGTGAATATAAATGAATAAAAATAGAAAACAACATTTAGTAGTAACAGGCCTGCTAATGCAACTGTCCATATTATGGCTGTATAAACTCCTTATATAAGGAAGAGAATCATGGAATCATTAAGGTTGGAAAAGCCCTTCAAGATCATCTGGTCCAACTATCACACTACTACCAATGTCACCCACTAAACCATGTCCCTAATCACCACATCCAACCTTTCCTTGAACACCCTGAGGTAAGAGTTCACCTAACAAGTATCTTACCAGTATATATGTCTTTATGTGCAATGACGTCGCCTTGGTTATTATAATACTGCATAGAAGGTTGTGTTCTATCATATTCAGAGCGGGGTTCTCTAATTCCTAATAAAGCCGGTGATGAAGATGTGCTGCCAACTGATGAAAAAATAAAGATTACCATTATGTGCAATAAAAGCCTTTCTCAGACCTAACCTTCTCTCTTCTCTCCTCATCCCTTCCTTTCCCAAGGATTAGCAAATGAAGTGAGTAAACTTGTGTGTAAAGGACAAAACTAGTTACATAGCTTTTCCTGTATGGAGAACACCAATTATGAAAGCAATCAATGACATACCATTAAATTATCATTAAACTTCGTATTACAGTGAGTCATTACTCCATAATGCTTACAACTAAAATAAGAAACTTTACCCATTTCATTTTGCATATGACATTTTCTTTAGCACAGCTACTCAAATACAAATGTAATTGTTCATTTGTTTGCTAAAGTTTATGATCTTACGTATCTTGTACTTAAATAAAATCTCCAAGTCCACCATATCACCTGAGACAGGAACAGAAAACTTGCCTGGCTGAAGCAATCCACATGCAGACTTGTGTTATTGCTCTTACATTAGCATGCAGAAGTGAATCTTGGCCATTTGGTCAGCTCCAGTTGGCTGACAGCAACAGGTTACTTTGTGGTATTACAGTGAACAGTTGAACCTCTACTTCAGTTGTAAACAGTTTGTTCTGCTAAATCTTTTCTCTTTCACAGACAACTGGTTTGTTGACTTACGTACTTAAAAACAAATTCTAGAAATTTTGCTTCAAAACATTATCTTCTTCCACTAGCCATGCCCGTTAGATCATATCTCACAGTTTTGTGCTATTATGGATAGTTTAATTGCTGATATTTTTCCTAGCATATTCATAGCTTTAAAGGTTAATTTTTGAGGCGTTATTAAAATTCTGAAACTGTTCAATATAGCGTGTGCATTAATAATAGGACGTGTACAATCAAGTGACTGTAACAAAGAACAATGGCTACAGACCAAGTGGAACTGTTCTACCATGCATCTACTGTGTACACTGTAATCTGCAAGGCTACTGCCACGGTGCTCTTTGTGTATATGTTTTGTGCACCAGACTTCCACCATAATAATTATACCTTGTTCATACTCTGGAACAGAAAAACAGGCACTTCCTAGTAGGATTTAAAAAAAAAACAAAAACAAAAAAACTAAGTTCTCTCTGAAATGTAACAGCCTCTGAATATTATGTTAGAACTTCCCCTCTTATTTCCTACTTGTAGTTCACAAAACTGGAGCAGCAAAGTCATTCTGTTAGCATATCTTAGGGGGAGAAAACTCTGAGATGAGGATTTGGAATACCCTTTTACACTTAGGCTGAGGGAACTGTCTAGATTTTCCTGAAGCAATATTTGCTTCATTGTCATTGCTTATTTTGAGAAGATACTTTGGCTCTGTCTGTAGATACATAGCTTAAACAGTCCTCCAGTTCAAGATGCTATTTTGATGGCAGTACATGCAACTTGGTGACTAGGTGTAAAGGTGAAAACTGCCTTTGGTATCACATTGTTCAAGAATGACAAAGGGGTAATTGTTTGGGACAATTTATTAGAATCCCAAAGGGCTGGGAGAAAACTGAATGAGGAACATGGTAAGATCAGAATTACAAAATCCCCTGGAACTGTTATCAGTAGTCTGCTGTTGTATGATATTAGACAAAGAAAGTCCTGCATATTGGTGGTTGAGGGGAACTATGCACATGAAAGACATTTTCTTTCCCTTAGTCACTGTAGGTATACTGCTTATAGCAAAATAAATTCCTGTCTGAGTCTATTTTTCATTCACCCATGTCATGAAGTAGCATGTGAGGACTGTTCCTTTTTATAAAAGTAGTAATTAAACAACTGTATTATAGGAGCTGATCTGTTATTTTAGCAGTCATGGTAAATATGTATTTCTCAGTATTAAGAGAGATCTATTCACACAAAAATAGAAAGGTAAATTGGATAACAAATGCTAAATGAAGAGTATACAAAACCTACTTGAAGCCTTGTACATCAGCCCTGTCCAACATCTAAATCCTACTCCTGGAAATGTTAAAGGAACAAAGGGGAGATTACTGCAATAAATGAGAAGCAGTCAGAAAAGATATTTTTTTATTTGTCTTGCTCATCCTAATGGAACATTACAGGGAACAAAAATAGGTTCCTTGCTGATTTATTTTCTTTACATGCTTTTAAGTATGCATGTTCTGTGAGGCTACACCTACCCTGCCATGTTATACAGCACAAAAGGAGTGGCTTTGTAGAGGGCAAAGGTGACAAAATCAAGATGTCTACACTGTACACTCTGAGGATTTTACTTAAGACTAAATCTAATCTTGTCCCACAGACTGGATGTCTGTCTTCAGACAGAGTACATCGTTGCTCTGGAAGCACACCATCCAATTTAGTTTCTTCCAAAAGGAACACAATTCACACATTCTGAGACTGTTTGCACTTTGAATGGCATTAAGGAGTAAATGGGGAGATTGGCTGCGAAGTGCTTCTTATCCAAACTAAAATGCTGTTGTAGAGACACCTCACAAACTCTGTGGGATATGGAACCTGACAGTAATATCAGCTAAAGTAACATTCAGAGAACATGAAATTCTTGTGCAGTCTTGTTTAAATACAGAGGAGACACAGCATGGCCCCCATGTTTTAGACAGGATGACAAATAAACTGAAAGGCTATTTGAGTTTGAAAATGAGACACAAGGTACCCCTTTGGCAAATCTCTTTTTGTGTCTTGACTGACCTGACTGTATGACAGGTGACATCTGCTGATTTGTTGTTGATAAAGAAGGATGCGATTTGAATCTCTCTCGCTCTAGTGTTGATACGGGTGTAATAAAATGACTCTGATTCCATCCATCCTGTGGAGTGGTAAAAAGAAGAGAACAAAATAAATTGCTTTGCATTAAATTAACAGTTTTTGTAGAACTGTTTTCCAGTGGAGGCTCCTTTTGTAATCTACCTTTTTATAAATGCTACGGAGATCTCGGTATTGCCATAACGTATTCAGT